TCAATTTGGTGAGCATCTTCTGTCAGATGAACAAACAAAGCATTAGACAATTGGTCATGTCTTAAATGTCACAACATAAATACTCTGTAAGACACGGCCAATTGTCTAATGCTTTGTTTGTTCATCTGTCAGAAAATGTTACTCTTGTCTCTACTACCACACAATGTTTTACTCATACATTTTATATATATATATATATATATATACATATATATATATATATATATATATATATATATATATATATATATATATATATATATATATATATCGTACCTAGTAGCCAGAACTCACTTTTGGGCCTACTATGGGGGCCCCATTTGCCTAATAAGCCAAATTTTCCTGAATTAATATATTTTTTAAATTTTTTTCTTATGAAATGATAAAGCTACCCATTTCATTATGTATGAGGTAAATTTTTTTATTGTTGTTAAAATTAACGTAGATATATGACCGAACCTAACATATGGGTACCTAACCTAACCTATCTTTATAGGTTAGGTTTGGTTAGGTAGCCGAAAAGTTAGGTTAGGTTAGGTAGGTTAGGTAGTCGAAAAACAATTAATTCATGAAAACTGAGGCTTATTAGGCAAATCAGGCCTTGCATAGTAGGCTGAGAAGTGCGTTCTGGCTACTAGGTACGACATATATCCAAAAATATATATATATATATATATATATATAGTGTCTCATATATAATATATATATATATATATATATATATATATATATATATATATATATATATATATATATATATATATATATATATATATATATATATATATATATAACATATATGATATATATATATACAATATGAATGAAAACTCACACCCCAGAAGTGACTCGAACCCATACTCCCAGGAGCAACGCAACTGGTAACTACAGGGCGCCTTAATCCACTTGACCATCACGGCCGTCAAAGGAAGTGATAGCCGAGGCTATTTGAGCCACTTCCCCGGCGGCAACTCGGATGGTAATCTTGGGCATAGCATTTAACCAAAAAACCTCATTCTTTGGGGCACACGTGAGGAACACAAATGCGAACAAGCCTGAATGGTCCCCAGGACTATATGCGA